GGAGGAGGAGGATGAGGAGGAGGCGAAGGAGGAAGGAGGAGGAAGAGGAGGAAACGGAGGAGGAGGAGGCGGAAGATGAGGAGTAGTAAGAGGACGAGGAGGGGTGGGGAGGAGGAGAAGGAGGAGGAGGAGGAGGAGGTGGAGGAGGAAGAGGAGGAAGAGGAGGAGCATGAGGAGGAGGAGGAGGAGGAGGAGGAGGAGGAGGAGGAGGAGGAGGGGCAGGAGGAGCAAGAGGAGTAAGGGCCGGAGGAGGAGGACGCGGAGGCGGAGGCCGAGGAGGAGGAGGCGGAGGAACAGGAGGAGCATAATGATGATACATCAGAATAACATTGATACGAGGGGGACGAAGACGAATAAGCAGAAGTGGAGCACGAACACTATACATACGTATAATGAAAGTACGACGACGAACGCGACGACGCATACCAATACTACGAATACCAATACTGCGATGCAGAGCAATCAGTCTAAACATAGGACCAATACGGCGCATGCTAAGCATACAACTCGTACGAATAGTATTACAGCAACTGGTACTACTACGGCGAATAGTACAACTAGTGTTGGTCAACAAAATACGATTCCAAGTACTAATAATACTAAGTGGAAGCATGCTAAGCAACACTATAAGACCAGTAACACGTCATACGAATTCGAATACTCAGAAGACGAGTAATACTAACACTAAGACGAAGAAGGAGACGACTCATACCAACAAACACAATCGTACGACTAGTACGACGACGAATGATAATGCCACCGGTACGAACAACAATATATTCGTAATTCTAGTATTGCGAATGGCTTGCGAAGATGACGAATAATACGATTCACAATACTCATACCACTATTAAGACGAAGAGGAAGAGGAGGAGGAGGGGGACGGGGATGCTGACGATGATGATGATTATGCTGATGCTGCTGCTGATGATGATGATGATGATGATGGTGGTGATGATGATGATGCTGATGATGATGATGATGCTGCTGCTGCTGATGATGATTATGATGCTGATGATGATGATGATGATGAGGAGGAGGAGGAGGCGGAGGAGGAGGAGGAGGGTGAGGAGGGAGGGAGGGAGTGAGGGAGGGACGGAGGGTTGGAGGATGAGGATGAGGAGGAGGAGGAGGAGGAGGAGGAGGAGGAGGAGGAGGAGGAGGAGGAGGACGAGGAGGACGAGGAGGAGGAAAGGAAGGAGGAGCAGGGCTGAGCGATGATGGATGAGGGGGGGGAGGTAGGGGAAGGAGGGGAGCCACCGCCCGTGCTGCTGCTGCTGCTTCCAGCCGCGCAGCTGCCGCAGAGCCTGTGCTTGTGGTCATGCAGCGTGAAGGATCCTCGTGCGGGGGCCCCACTCTGAAGAAGAGCCGCTATGCATCGGCACATTCGTGGCGCAAGTCTGACATTGCGGTCGATTAGCTGAGAAGCCTCGGGCAAGAGCCCCCTTTTGAGTATGAGCCAGAATCAGACACGAATAGGTACAGCGCCAAGGCGAGAGCCATATTTTGAAACCGATCTTCCGCCCTCCATGTTTGTAGCTGGTCGAATCTGTCAAGATCAGTGATCGCAGCGCGGAGGCGAGAGCCACACTTTGAACACGATTAGCCCTACATCGGTTGAGCTGTCGGAGTCTTGAAGCTTCAGGATCGCTAGTGGTGGGGAAGTCTCAGGCGAAACGCCCAGCCCGCCCTACCGACGTGAACTTTTCTTAAGGAGGAGGAGGACGAGGAGGAGGAGGAGGAGGCGGAGAAGGAGGAAGAGGAGGAGAAGGAGGGGGGCGTTGTGTTCATACCTGCCGTTGTACTCCCGCGCTGCATGATTCCGACCCTGCGACCGTGCCCTGGGCCCCCCCTGCGACGGCACGTGACGGGCCCCCCAGCGACCATGCCATGCCACCGTGCCCTGGCGCCCACTGCGACCGTGCCCAGCGAGCGTGAAGGCCCCCCCCCCCCTGCGACCGTACCGTGCCCTGGCCCCCAGCGACTGCGCCCCGCCCCGGCCCTCCAGCCAGCGACCTCCCCACCGTGCCCCGCCCCGACCGTCCGCAGACCCCGCCCGAGCCTGCCCCAGCCTCGTGCCCAGGCCGGCCTCGGGCTGAGGGAGCCGACCGTTGCCGCCGCGCTCAGGGTCCTGCAGGCGCCGCTGGAGCTCGTCGAGCAGCGGCCTGGCGTCAGGACGGCCCAGCACGACCTCCAGGGGCCCCCCCGGGTCACGACGGAGGGCTTCTGGTCATCCTCGGCCCACGGGGGCCCTCGCCGGGCCCTGGGTCCGTGAAAAAAGGGCCCAGGATGAAGCATCAGACCCCCGTCGTCGTGATGTTTTCACAGCGTCGAACCCCCGGGGTCTGGACCCCGTCCCGGGGACAGGCTTTTCATCCCGAGTCATGTGTTGACGGCCCCGAGGCCCGGCAAAGGCCCCCGTAGGCCGAAGATAGCGAAAGTCCTTCCGTCGTGATTTTTTGTTCACATCGCCAGCGGGTCTGGGGGGAGTGGGTCGGGACTTCTGCGGCTCGACGCTATGAGCAAGCTCGAGCCGACGGGGATCTGCGCGATGGGGGGGGGGCCCTGCTCGGCCACGGGGCGCCCACGACATCCAATCCGATGCGACTCGCTGGGCCGGCCGGAGAGACCCGCGATGCTCGGCTACACCTTACGTCGGCGACTACAAAGGGTATGGTTACGCCAGGGTGTGGTTTGCGATTGGCACAGCTTGGGCCCGGGGATCACGACACTGTCCTCGCTGGGTCTGCTCGGGGCGCAGCGGAGAGAGCTCTGTCGAGGTCCCCGCCCGCCCCCCATGGTGCCCCCCAGGGCGCGGGTTGCAAACCACACCCCTTGCAAGCCACATCGGAGTCGCCGGTCATGTTGCTCCCATCGTACTTAAGGACCACGTCCCAGACATCATTTCGAGCACCCAGAAAATGTCGGAACAGTGTCGAACGAGTGTCGCCTCCCAGGGCTCGGCACGTGAAAGCCCTCAAGTTTCTGTGCTGCCTTCGTGCTCGAAGTTCTTTCGGGTGGCCAAGGCTGCAGTACGCAGGAACACCATAAGGCTGCACGTGCACACCGGTCGGTGGAAGTAGGTATTCTGGGATTCTCAAATCCCAATCCACTTTGGGCGCCCTCCTGCTTCAAGAGTCGAGCGGTTTCCCTCTTCCCTCCTTTTTAGGGGGCGGGCGGAAATCCGACCTATTTCCAACGCCTTACTGCTTCATGTTTTACCTACATATTCCGACCGTCGTGTAAGAGTGACCCTTGGCTGGGGTGACCTCCCGACCGCCGAACGCGATGCGATAGTGGCGTCTGGCGCGCTTGTGTGTTGGTCCCCCCGCGGCCCCTAAAAAGCCGCGCACCACAGGTCACTCTTACCCAGGGCCACTCTTGCGTTCAGCCGTGATGCGCCAGCAGTTGCCGTGAGTGCAAAGTGAGGAGGAGGAGCAGGAGGAGGAGGAGGAGGAGAGAGCACGCACGCATTGCTTCACATTGTCCTCACAGGAGCTGCAGCCCGACCTGTCCTGCCCAAACGGGCGCGGCCCTACGACCAGTAGGGCCGAATGGGCGCTCGCTCGCTCGCTCTCAGCAGTGTCTGGGGCCAGCCCGAGCGCGGCGCGGCGTTTCCTGGGGCGTCGTGGGTTCTCGACGTGGAGGTGGTGCCCAGACTTCCTCGCGTTGCGAAGCTATCACGACGGGAGGTGTTTCGCTATTTTGGGCCTCTGGGGGCCCATGCTGGGCCCCGTGGCCGTCAAAAAACGACTCGGGATAAAGAACCAGTCCCGGCGACGGGGTCCAGACCTGTGAGTCGGGCCGAACGCAAGGGGGGTGATGGGGAAAGGGGGGGTTTCGGAATCCGCTGCGTGCAGCTGGTTCGCGGCCCCGCCGCCGGGCCCATTCCTCGATACATGGGCGCCTCCTGGCGCCGGGAGGCGCCGGGAAAATCAGCTGCGTGAGCTGATTCTCAACCCCCCCCCCTTTGCTATCCCCCCTTTTCGCCCGGCCTGGCCCTCCACTGGGGGAATCTCCTAACGGAGAAAAAATTGTCAGGGGACGATGTTTTGAGTCTTTTTCTGTATGTTTGGGTATTTTTCTTGGGGGTACTTGTTCAGGCTTCCTCCTTTCGCCCGGCCCGAGTGAGGGTCGACGCTGCGACAAAGGCACGACGCCGGGGTTGTTGATCGGCCCTCGGAGCCGGACGGCGGTGCCCCGGACGCTTAAGTCGGGCCTGTCCCCCATAGCGGGGAATTTTTTGACGAAAAATAAAAGATACCCCAGAAATAGTCAAAAAATTGTCCAAAGATAGTATGGGGACTATTTTTTGAGTATTTTTTCACCTTTTTGGATTATTTCTGGGGTAGTTTTATGTTTCCGTCGAAAATCCTCCTGTAGGGGGAAAGGCCCGACATAACCCGTACGCCGCGCCGAAGCGGGGCCTGCAGGGAGTCCAGGCACGGTTACGGTGCATGGGCCCCAGTCGCGCACCTCGGGGCCAGTGGATTGCGATGGCCCGTCCGTTTCCTCGGCAATGGCGCTCGGCGCCCCCAGGGGGATGGACGATGATGATGATGATGATGATGATGATGATGATGATGATGATGATGATGAGGATGAGGATGAGGATGAGGATGAGGATGAGGATGAGGATGAGGATGAGGATGAGGATGAGGATGAGGATGAGGATGAGGATGAGGATGAGGATGAGGATGAGGATGAGGATGAGGATGAGGATGAGGATGAGGATGATGATGATGATGCTGATGATGCTGATGATGCTGATGCTGATGCTGATGCTGATGATCCTGATGCTGATGCTGATGATGATGGTGATGATGATGATGATGATGATGATGATGATGGTGATGGTGATGCTGATGCTGATGATGATGATGATGCTGATCATGATGATGGTGATGATGGTGATGATGATGATGGTGGTGGTGATGCTGATGCTGATGATGATGAAGGTGGTGATGATGATCATGATGATGCTGATGATGCTGATGCTGATGCTGATGCTGAGGATGCTGATGATGATGACGATTCTGATAATGCTGATGATGAAGATGATGATGCTGATGCTGCTGCTGATGATGATGACGATGATGATGGTGGTGGTGGTGATGATGATTATGCTCATAACGATGATGCTGATGACTATGATGATGATAATGATGATGATGAGGATGATGATGATGATGTGGATGCTGATCATGTTGATGATGGCCATGGTGGTAATGCTGTCGATGCTGATGATGCTCATGCTGCTGATGACGCTGATTCTGATGACGATTCTGATATTGCTGATGATGATGCTGATGCTGATATTGATGCTGATGATGATGACGATTCTGATAATGCTGATGATGAAGATTATGATGCTGATGCTGCTGCTGCTGATGATGATGATGATGACGATGCTGATGATGATGAGAATGCTGGTTGTGGTGATGATGATTATGCTTATAATGATGATGCTGATGATGTTGATGCTGATGATGGTAATGATGTTGATGATGACGATGATGATGATGATGATGATGATGCTAACGCTGATCATGATGATGATGGCAATGATGATACCGCTGTCGACGGCCAGTGGATTGCGATGGCCCGTCCCTTTCCTCGGCAATGGCGCTCGGCGCCCCCAGGGCGATGGACGAAGATGATGATGTTGATGACGATGATGATGATGGTGATGATGATGATCATACTGATGATGATGCTGAAGAAGAGGATGCTGATGATGACGATGACGCGGATGCTGATGCTGATGACGATTATAATAATGCTGATGATGATGACGTTGATGCTGCTGCTGATGCTGCTGCTGATGTTGATGATGACGATGGTGATGACGATGATGATTGTGATGGTGATGATGATGATGATGATGACGATGCTGCTGATAATGATGACACAGCTGATGCTGTTGGTGATGATGATGGTGATGACGATGCTGCGGATGCTGAGCATGAGGATGATGTTGATGATGTGTTGCGGATGCTGATGATGATGAGGATGATGGTGATGATGCTGAGGATGATGATGATGACGATGCTGCGGATGCTGATGATGATGATGATGATGTTCGTGATGATGATGACGATGATACTTATGCTGATGTTGATGACGCTGATGATGATGATGCTGCTGATGCTGATGTTCATTATGATGCTGATGATGATGAATCGGATTCTGATCATGATTCTGATGACGGTGCTGATAATGCTGATGATGACGATGCCGATGCTGCTTCTGCTGATGCTGATGATGCTGCTGCTGATATTGCTGATGCTGATTTCGCTGATGCTGATGCTGATGCGGCTGCTGCTGCTGATGCTGCTGCTGATGATGATGATGAGGATGATGGTGATGTGGATGCTGTTCATGTTGATGATGACGATGGTGGTAGTGCTGCCGATTATGATAATGGTCATGCTGCTGCTGATGCTACTGCTAATGATTAGGATGACGATGCTGTATATGATGAGGATGGCGATGCTGATGCTGTTGGTGATGATGCTGATGTCTATGCTGCGGATGCTGACCATGATGCTGCTGATGATGATGATGATGATCATGCTGAGGATGCTGAACATGCTGCTGATGATGATGCTGATGCCGCTGCTGCTGATGATGCTCATGATCATGATGACGATGATTATGATGGTGATGATGATGCTGATGATGATGACGCTGATGCGGATGCTAATCATGCTGATGGTGACGGTGATGATGATGCTGATGATGATGATTCGGATGTTGATCATGATTGCAATGGTGATGCTGATGATACTGATGATGATACTGCTGATGCTGCTACTGCTACTGCTGATGATGATGATGACGATATTGATGATGATGGTGGTGATGATGATGCCGATGACGATGATGCTGATGCTGCTGCTGATGCTGAGGGTGATGATGATGATGACGATGATGATGATGATGGTGATGATGATGATGCTGATGCTGATGATACTGTTGATGATGATGCTGATGATGATGATGATGATGATGATGATGATGATGATGATGATGATGACGGTGAGGCTGATGTTGATGATGATGATCATGGTGATGATGATGATGATGCTGATGATGATGATGATGATGATGATGATGATTCTGTTGCTGATTCTGATGATGCGGATGCTGATCATGATGATGCTGATGACGAT